AAAAATAATAATAATCAAATAAAAAAAAATAAAAACACAATTTCTCAAAATCTATTGATTGAAGTGATTCAACGTAACAGAATTCAGTTTTGTATTGAAATTCAACACAACTACACTTAGCATGGTGTGCTAGGAACAAGATCATGACGAGGAGTTATCTGCGCAGTTTCATATTTGATGTTTTCTGCTCTTTGCAGTAACAGTAGGGTCTGAGATGTGGGAAATCATCCATTATGCAGTGCGGTTGCTCGCCATACATGTTTATTCTACTGATGGAGCTATAAGCGCAATTAAAGGTTTTTTCTTTTGTGCTTTGATAAACCGTAGCCTCGAAACGCCCAAGCCCTGGTTGAGTTTCTATGGTAACTTGATAGAACACGCAATCTTCTGCGAAAATCCTCTCCTCGATGGAAAATTGAGGCATTCGGCCATCTTGATCAGCAGATTTTTCAAATGTCAATACTTTCGCTTTATCTGGAGACATTTTTATCGCTGAAATTACTCGTCCTAAACTCAGACCTGAACATTTATCCCTCTCCTCACTGGTCATAGTGTTTATCGTTGTCACAACTTCGCGCGCAGCCTCAATGACATCCGGATCACTTGTGGTTAGTTTTTCCCATTCTTGACACGCGCACCAATGAGGCTCCACACCTGCATCTGCGCATGTCCGATTAAGGGGAATTTCTTTAAAAAGACTGATGCCGCGTTTTAGTTTCCCGCCTGTCTCAGTCTCTGAATGCTTATAATTCAGTATGTCTATAAATGTGGCATGTATATCAAACGGGGTTGTCAAACGCTGGGCATTGGTCACGAAATTTCTATAAGCCTCGGGATAAAGCTTTTGAAATTTCTCTGGAAAACGAAATGAAAAAAATGGTAAGCGTTCTTCCAGCTTTCCTTGAAAAGTCTCTCGCAATTTTCCATAGCGAACGCCATGATCTGACATTAAAAATAAGCACAGTTGAGTCAAGATGGCCATCTTCTTCTAGGAATTTTAGAAACTCCACAAGTCCATCATCAGCGTTTTGCAGTATTCTGTACTCGACATTATGACTGTATTCGTTATAAAACCCGAGAACGAATTTTGGTTTGTCTGGGTACGCCACAAAAGCATCTTTGAGCCAGTTCAACTGGTTTAGATGGTTGGACATGGAACCAAGACAAAAGCTCTGAAACATGTTTGATATCTCCCTTTTTCTCAAGTAGAATACACGCATGTTGTGATCTGTAGGTATTTCATTGAACCCAAGCAATCTGTAATGAAAAGTCCCCAAGTTGGGTTCATCCTCAACCCACTGAGTGATATAGCCATGCTTTTTGAAATCCTTCCAAACAAATGGGAATCCATCAACAGACACAGCGCCAGGCCATCCGCGCCTGGATTCCGGAAGCTCTTCTTCAGTGAGGCCCGTTAGGATAGGGAGAAAAGCCTGTGTGGTACCGTCACCAACGATGTTGTATCCTTCGAGAACAGTTCCCTTCAGGTTCTTGGTGAAATACTGATAGGTCTTGGGCAGGTGGCGCATCCAAGTTAGACGAGAAACGCCATCGTAGCCTATCATCAGAACACTTAAACCCATAGCGTTCCTCCCTCTTGGCGTGCTGTTGGCACGTGCGAAAAGAGATGCGTTGTACGCTATCCCAGACACTAAGTTTGTGTAATTCTCTCCGGTGGTTGGACAGGTACAGTGTACTTCAGAAAAATCAAACTTTAACGGATCTCCATCAATGAAGTCTGTTTTACTTCCCAAGCGCACAGTGTAGTCATCAATACCCCGTTGTATTGGAATATATGAGCAAAGTATTTGACCGTGTTTTTGGAGAGCATTTTGAGAAATGCGATATTTTCCATTTTCAACGAAGACCCAGTTCTTTTCTTTGCTGGTACACTGTACAGTTCGCGGTTCCAATCCAAAGGTCGTTATTTCTGGAGGAAATAGTTCAAGATGAGGCGGAACGCAAGCTTGGACGTTTGATTTATTAGCTGGCGCCATGGCAGTGAATTCGTCCAATAGCCAACTGGCACCGATGTAAATAACAATTAATAGTATTGCCGCACATATACGAAGGTAAAACTTCCTACATAATGCCGTTGGTATTCTGTTAGGTTGCATAAAGAATGATGCGAACTTCATGTCAACGCCAAGAAGCAAACCGCTGACTGCTTGTTAAAAATGTATGAAAGCGGCCTTGTGAAAGGCAAAACTTTATTTTCAGCGCTTTGTAAGAAATGAACAAGTTTGTGCTTCGATGCCTTTTTTATGGAGAAAATAAATGGCTCACCTTTGTTGCAGAATGTCTACAAGTAAATAAACTGTCCTGTTTGTTCGATCAAATTAGAATGTCTCTTTCCAAGAAAAATATATTATTCCGTTTTTCGTTTGCCGCTGCTCTCAGAAAGACCCTGATGACATGTTCTTGTTTCCTTTTCTGTACCGAGTGCTTTTCTGTCTCAAGTTTTGGATAATACGTCTGCTATATATTGGTCCCAGTAGATAATATAAATTCATCATTTACCTGTCCGACTTGGTCACGTGAGTGGCTATATGACTCTAGGTAAGGGGTCGTGACGTCAAGGGTGTCAAGGGTGTCCACCTGACCATGCCCAACAGGCTATGCCGACGAAATGTCGATTCCGAGAATAATTCATAAAGTCGTTGCTATTAATTACAACGAATCAATGTTATTTGACGATTAATAAATGATACTGTCTCAATCGTTCTGTGAAAGAGGGCATCCTCATTCACTGTTAGATGGCACCGCCTTCCTTCCCGGAACGTGGCACGCACACGGAAAGTTACACTCACTTATAACAGTATCGATTCACTGTGAACAGTCAGGACAGACAAAAATGATAGGTTGGTTTACGAGCTGAGATTCTCTTAAAACAGATTTAGTAGGCTTTTTTAAACTTTTCTTTTCTTTTTAATAATAGATGATGTTTAACGAACACTGCAGGTAGAAAGCAAGGTCGGTAGCAATTTTAATAAACGATTTTTTCGATTATGAAGAATGAGGTGCTAAAATCGATTTCACTAGGGTCGGGTCGGTCGTGCTCGTTAACCAACTAATCAAATTTCTCTTCTCACGCTGCTTTTTTCCACTGTAGGATTTCTGTTCTGAGAAATTCCCATAGGCTAGGATACGACACATAGCGGGCTTAAATGAATAAATTATAATACCTGCATACAGTACTAGTGGGTCGCATGAATATTAACCACAACATATGAACGAATATGAAGGGATCCTAAAACATACTTAGGCCTAGGATCCCGACCAAGATATCTTGGGTCTTAGGCTCTATTCCCATAGATTTTAGATCGATCTATCCCCGCGGGGAGTCTCAGATTACTGTCAGATAATCCGACTTAAATGTCCGTCCCGCCTACTACAAGCTGTAAGGGGTAATTAACTTTCGTGTCCGCCCGGCTGACAGCTATTTAGCGTGAATCCCAGGGAGCTAGGTCGATCTAAAGTAGGTCGATCTAATCTATGGAAATGGGGTGTTAGCTTAGGCCCACTATTTAGTGTACTTTGAAAGACTCACCGAATTGGGACACAAGTAAGCTCAGCACTTGTGCTTCCTTTTAAAGGCACATTTGGGGCAAAGAAAGCCAAGATATGTAGTTACTCAGTGCGCATATTATTTTAAGTGTACCTTGAGTAAAAGAGCGAAAATGCCAGAATTAGCAATCTTCTATTTTCTCTTTAGCGTGGGTGTTCAAAACCCTTTAGCAAGGTCACGTTTAGTATAGCAAATTATTACCCTAAGTGTTATTGGTTGTGATAGTTGTCCGATTGAACGAAGCGAAAGCACAGTAGTGTTACAGGATATATTAGGTTTAAAATCACGTTTTATCTAAAAGTGTGTATTTTGTGCAAACTGTTACGGAATACTCTTCATTCAAGTCCCAGCAAACTCATATTCTTTCTACTTAAGCTGTTGGGTTTGATTTAATATGTACATCAGTTTCAATTCTCAAATTAAGAGCGCTAAAATGTTATCAAAGCAGTACGATTTTTTCTTTTTATGTGCATTAGCTAAAAGGGTTTGTTTTTCATTTGATGTAGGTCATCGTCATGGCGGTATTGCAGGTAGATATTCAAGGATTCAAGGTTAATTTGTAAAGATGTTGACAAATTCTTTTCTTGCTTTTTATTGTAGCAATTTATCAAAAAAAAAAAAAAAAAAAAAACACTTAAAAAGAACTCATTTCGCCCCGCGCCCCACTGTGTTTCATCATATTAAAAGCTGTGAGTATTAACTAAGGCAGTTAAATGGAAATTTTGAATGTTATCAAGATAACCTCCTTGGCTGCGTACAATTAATCGCGCCTTATCAATAAATCATTCCAGTGAATGGATCCTTTTTATAATCAATATCCCCATGACGGAAGGAAGGAACATTAATACCAGTGCTACCCGGGTTAACATTACTCTGTCTGAAACTACTGGTAATTTGCTACTTATCTCCATTTCGGCCTCGTGACACCCTCATATCGTGCGCTTAATAGAACAATAATGGCTCCTCAATGGTCCAAATGAACAGACACTATGCTCGCTTGTTATTCGGTATTTTTTGGCTTACTCGTACATCTCGAAGTATGATATTTTAGTATAACTATATATATTTTTGCGGATAACCTTGGATAACGATATACTTTTGCGGATAACCTTTTCTGCCAGACAAGAATCAAAGTGATTAAGAGAAATCAGTTACCTTGCCAGAGTACTCGGCCAGCAGAACAGGGTTTGGGATAGATAACGGAAAGGTCACTCAGGAGGTTTGCAGTTTTACCTGTCACTAAAATGGGTTTTGCTATTGTCATACATATCATACAGCACATGGAAACTTCACATACAGTGCTTATGTGATTATATATTACAAAACAGCTATCTACCAGACGCGTGCACATCATCTGCGCAACAATTTATGACATACATGTACAGTATTGCAACTTGTCCCTTGTCTCTGTTTACCTATGTCTTGACGGATTAGGTTACTATCTCCAGTGATTTACGTTGTCTGTATACATTGATAAAAAGACATTGATACGTAAAGGACAGAAGAAGAACCAAGGACACCTCATCTGGATCTAACTGGTGATAGACAGTGTCAAACGGAATCATACATTTTTCATTGCAAGGGACAACGAGAAATTCTTATTTGATCGAGAAAGAGCAAAAATGTCATTTTGAAACAAAGGTGAGACATTAACTTAAAAAACAGCTTTAACGTCCTAATATTCCCTTTAGAAGAAACGGGTCAATCGGTCCATTTCTCAGAAATCGCTGCATTCTCGCGTTTGTCTTTCACAAAACCATTGGTAACTGATTCACTGATGCTGACATGAAGTCATCTTTATTCTCTCTGCTGCTTTACAGAATACCGAAAGTTTTCTGTAGAAAGGTTTCCTTTCTCATGAGTCTCTCAATACTATGCATTATTGTTTATGTCGGTATCAGTTGGCTACATGACGAATCCTATAACCAGACCATAGCCAAGGTTCTCCCCGAGAACACTCGCGTCTCAGCCTGCGTTTTGCCTGACCTGAAAATACTTGCACCAGGAATAATGTCGTTTATAACGAAAACTGCTCCTGTGCAGTGTAGCCGTGCTGCAGAAACGAACTGGGTCTACGTTGAAAACGGAACATATCGCATTTCTCGAAAGGCCCGCCAAAGACACACCAAAATACATTGTTTTTACGTCCCAATACTGCGAGGTATTGATGACTACACCGTGCGCTTGGGAAGTAAAACAGACTTCACTGATGGAGATCCATTAAAGTTTGATTTTTCTGAAGTACACTGTACCTCTCCAACCACCGGAGAGAATTACACAAACTTAGTGTCTGGGATAGCGTACAATGCATCACTTTTCGCACGTGTCAACAGCACGCCAAGGGGGAGGAACGCAATGGGTTTAACTGTTCTGATGATAGGCTACGATGGCGTTTCTCGTCTAACTTGGATGCGCCACCTGCCCAAGACCTATCAGTATTTCACCAAGAACCTGAAGGGAACTGTTCTTGAAGGATACAACATCGTTGGTGACGGTACCACACAGGCTTTTCTCCCTATCCTTACGGGCCTCACTGAAGAGGAGCTTCCGGAATCCAGGCGCGGAAGGCCTGGCGCTGTGTCTGTTGATGGATTCCCATTTGTTTGGAAGGATTTCAAAAGGCATGGCTATATCACTCAGTGGGTTGAGGATGAACCCACCATTGGGACGTTTCATTATAGATTGCTTGGGTTTAATGAAACACCTACAGACTACAACATGCGTGTATTCTACTTGAGAAAAAGGGAGATATCAAACATGTTTCAGAGCTTTTGTCTTGGTTCCATGTCCAACCATCTTAACCAGTTGAACTGGCTCAAAGAAGCCTTTGTGCTGTACCCAGACAAACCAAAATTCGTCCTCGGGTTTCATAACGAATACAGCCACAATAGTCAGTACACAACACTTCAAAACGCTGATGATGAACTTACCAAGTTTTTAAAGTACCTAGAAAAAGATGGCCATCTTGACTCAACTGTGCTTATTTTAATGTCAGATCACGGCTGTCGTTTTGGAAAATTGCGAGAGACCTTTCAAGGAAAGTTGGAAGAACGCTTGCCGTTCTTTTCATTTCGTTTTCCGGAGAAATTTCAAAAGCTTTATCCCGAGGCTTATACAAATTTTCTAATCAATGCGAAACGCCTGACATCCCCGTTTGATATTCACGCCACTTTTATGGACATGTTGAATTATAAGCAGTCAGAAACTGAGGCAGGCGGGAAACTAAAACGCGGCATCAGTCTATTTGAAGAGATTCCCCTTGAGCGGACATGCGCAGATGCGGGGATAGAGCCTCATTGGTGCGCGTGTCAAAAGTGGGAAAGACTTAACATTAGTGATCCGGATGTCACTGAGGCTACGCACGAAGTTGTGTCAACAATCAACAAGATGACCAAAGAGAAAAGAGATAAATGTTCACGCCTGACATTAGGAAGAGTAATTTCCGCGATCAAAATGTCCCCAGATAATGCGAAAGTATTGACATTTGAGAAGTCCGCTGATCAAGATGGCCGAGTGCCCAAATTTTTTATCGAGGAGAAGGCTTTCGCGGGAAATGGCTTTTTCTATCAAGTTACCGTAGAAACTCAACCAGGGCTCGGACGTTTCGAGGCTACGGTTTACCAAAGTCACAAAGAAAAAACTTTCAAGTGCAGTGACAGATCCATCAGTAGAATAAACGTGTATGGAGAGCAACCACACTGCATAATGAATGCTCTCCCACATCTCCGACCTTACTGTTACTGCAAATTGCAAAGGAAATCGTAAAACAGATTGGGTACTCCTAATTTCGATCATAACGGATCATGTTTATTGAAATTGCCGACAGTAGGTGTTTCCCGTAGAAGTTCTCGAACAGGAAGGGTGTTTGGGAAATCGCGATCTTTATTAAGTCTGGAACGTTTGTTTTATTCATGCCGTTAAAGACCACAGATTCTCTCCAGAAACACTAACGTACATATAATAGTAATAGTTTGAATGAGCGAATGTGTAACAAACGCTTTTTAAATAATTTTAAGGACATATTATGATTCTATACGTCAACAGATGCTTAAATTAGAATATGCAGGAGCAATACAGTATTAATTTTTCTTGCGAATTGAGAATTATATGCTTGTTTATCTAAATCAGGCCGGTTCCGTCAAAATCGTAATCCTGAAAGAATGCCCTGCACTGTGTCAGTACGGCCGTGGTAAATGAAATATAGAAAGAAACGAGTTTTAATTTCATTCTTCCACTTACACTTTGAACGCTTGCTTTATCAGACAAACTTGAACTGCAGATAAAGGGGGCGTAAAATATGGAGTTGAATACATAGTTATATCAATTGGTTATATTTGGTTTTGAGTCTTTATCGCTCATGAGGCGGGTTTTTATCAAGCTGTTCTTGAATTTTTCTTAATATTTACCTGTTTGATTTTTTAAGTGTTTCATATGTGCTCGGGCTAGTTTTCCGCTTGACTTTGGCACTTTTCACATTAAGGCTGTATTCCCAGAGCTTTTAGATCGATCTATCCCCGCGGGGAGTCTCACTAGATTACTGTCAGATAATCTGGCTTATATATGTCCGTCCCGCCTACTACAAGCTGTAAGGGGGTAATTAACTTTCGTGTCCGCTCGGCTGACAGCTATTTAGCGTGAACCCCCAGGGAGTTAGGTCGATCTAAAGTAGATCGATCTAATCTCTGGAAATGGGGTCTAAGTCGTGTACTAAAGTTATGTGTTCTGTATCAGTACATTTTAGGGGCTGATACCTTAACATCCCTGGTGGAGCCCCCGTGATCACGCTGTCAATTAGATACCTAAACAGTAAAAAGCACATCTGTGGAGAAATTGCAAAAGGAAAACAGCCTGTAACATAATTTATGCAAGGACCTCTTAAAGTATACCAGTGCAGATTGGATCGCTGAATTTTGCCACTCGATGTTAAAAAGGTTTTAATGATCAAACTCTTTTGGTATAACCTGCTTAGTAAGAGGCATTGCAAATTTACTTTGTTGAAATGCATTTTTTAGTCATTGACTGCCATCTTGAATTTCCTTAAAACCTGTTATATCCATCGGATATATTTTACCAGGTTTATGAAGGTGCCGTGTGTGTGCAATTGTGTCCTTTAGCAACAAGAAATGTTGAGCAGATATCAATGCAAATCAACAATTACAATAGCTACATAATAGCTAGCTGTTACTTTATTGATTACACAGCAGAGACTAAACAATAAATTTACATCACAAAACATTACAAATTCATCTTGAGGTATATCACTTAACTGATTATCCGTAAACAATTTCATTTAAATTAATCATGGATCAAGAAAAATAATTAGTTGTGAAATAATATAAGCTGCATGGTGATTACTTGAAAATCATGAAACTAACTGATAATTTCTAAATGCATTGTTATTCTTGAGTGAGTAAGTAAAATTAATTCCTGCTAACAAAATAGTTATCCACTTATAGACAAGGTGTATTGTCTGCTCGGAAACCAATGAACAAGTAACTAAGTAAATAAATAAATAACTGAAATGCTAAAATATTCTTCCAAACCTAGGGATTGCTCTCACTTGCACAGTAGCTGTATACTTTCTACAAAGAGCCATCAAAAATTATTTCAGTCTTTACAAAACACAGGATTGAAGATAAAATCTTGGCTTCCAAACTGTTTTCTTTAATTTAACATTCTTATAAGATGTTTGGTATTTGTTCAATATTTTATGTGTTTAACATTAAGTACCTATTTGGCAATAGGTTTCAGCAAAGAAGTCACTATACAGCAATGCTGGCATGTACAGACAAAATGAATTATATGATACGATTCCATTTCAGTTATCATGGTATGGGTACTTGTAACCAAACAAAAAGTATAAACTTGACCTAAAGTAAAAATACACATCAAATTGCTGGAAAACAGGTGACATCATTGGTCAATATGGTCATAAATGCCAAAATGACATTTAATTTGTTAATATGGAACTTGAACAAGTGTCTGACAGTGCAGAAAATTGTCAACTGCATTGTTTAGATGGGTAAAAGTAAACAAAAACATGTGACTATGAAGATCTTCAAGATGTATACCTACCATTGTTAACATTCATTTCAAACAAAATGCAGATCTTTTCAGTACTAGATTTCTGTGATGTATGCCCAGACATAATATGTCTGAACATAGAAACTAAGAACCAACTACAATATTCAGAATGCCATATAACGATGCCTTTGCATCAAACTTATTCACAATAATGACAATAAAGATGTAGCAAAGATTTAAACACTATTTATGTTTAAAACTATTCTTATGATTGGAAAAAAAGCTGAATCTGAATAAATAAATAAATAAAAGTAAATAAATAAATAAATACAAGATGATCTTCTGATGTGGATTCAAATTGAGCTAGAATGTGGTAGATGTGATATATTGATTGTGATTGGGTGGTCTGCTCATTTCACAACCAATCACAATCACATTTGCAATATCTGAACTGAGCAATATGTTCTGAGGATTTCTTATCCACCTGTCGCCTCAGTTTGAGTACCAAAACTAAATTACCTGAAGCACAGTGTTGTCAATCCACTTTCTTATAGAGGAGATATTGAAGCAATTGTAAACCCGTATCAATCCACTAAGACAATAATAGTTTCTATTGATCTTGAGCTCATCTCTAAATGATGGGGGTGGGGGTGAGGAGAGAGGCAGGGGTGGGGGATTATTTCCAATACCGTATACCATCATGCAGGAGTCACATAGAATCTCAAATGGCAAAGACCTGTAGTCTTTTCTCTCAAGTTTTAAATTTTATATTCAACAACATCTGAAAATTCAAATGCAGTTGAGAAAACCATATTCTACACCTTAAAAACAGGTTGCAAGTGTGTGTGATGTTAACGACTGTGTTTTGACAATATCCAAGACAGCAACCATTCCTGCCAAGTTCAAATCTGGTATGAAAGGACACAAGTTGTGAAGCCACACTATCGCAGGCTGTACTCTAAAATCATACAGAGACTTTTCCAGTCCTCATGTGACTTCTCAACTTTGAACATTCTATATCAGCAGGCTGTGAAATAAGATACTGCAGGAAGCCAATCTCATGACACCTGGTTAAATTCTTCTCTCCACCGTGGGCCCTTCCTGCTGTTCCAAAATCAAAGAACCAACCTAACAATTATCTCCTGTACAGCTTTGCTTGTTTGTTAAGGGGTGGGGTAGTTACATAAGGGTGGATAGTTCATCACAGAGGTAAAAAAAAAATTGAAAAAGCTATAGCATTTAGAAGGCCTTTGGTAGCGATTAGTTGAATTCAATTAAACTGGCGATGGGATGTCGGAGGGGGAGGGAGGTGGCAACGCAGGATTTGATTGGCTTTCTGCAGTTTACAATTCAAATCACAAAGTGTGCAGATTCACTGCTCATGTTGATCTGTCACAACCTGGTTGCAAACACGACTTGGTACCTTATTGCTGGATGACCACACCCCCTACTCTTCCTCACCGTAACCACAGCAACCGTAATGGTTACCATGGAAATCAAAATTCTACACTTGTTCTTTTTTCCCTTACATACTTGTAACATCAGAAGTCAAATATTGAAATGATATGGATGAACAGAGGCAATGGATAATACAACAATAATATAAAAATACTAGACATTATCTGCACTAACTACACAATATAATGTAAGTGCCCATTACTAAAACATTTGTTATGGTGACTCATTTTTTAACCATCAAAAATAAAGATCCACTCATTGTCCAAAATCATCGTTTCATGAAAACATCAACTAATTAAAACCTGGATTAAAAATTACATACCAACAAACTAATTACTACAAAAATACTTCGAACTGTTTGGTGGGAACGTTCAACTCGATTTCAGCAAAGAGAAAAAAAAAAATAAAAACATGGATTTCTGTTATTAAAATCAGTTGAAGTCTGGGAAACAAAGAAAAATGCTCTAACAGTGATTAAAATCACTTGATTGTACTTGGTCTGTCCATCAGGACAAAATCTATGCAAAAAGTGCAAGAAAAAAATACTGCAGTAGTGCTAGTAAGAGTTAAAATATCTTACAATAAACAAATCTGAATACATGTATACTATAACATAATAATGCTTCTCATAATTAAAGCTGAGGGGGCTTAAAATCTGTATACCACGATAAAAATGAGGTACACAAAAAGCTGAAAGAACTGTAAATGAGTAATATATTGGAGCTTGCTACGTACCCAGGTAAATGTTTCAAGTAATCTACTGTTAGCATACAAGTTCAACATGTGAGGGCACGTACAATAACATTACATCTACTTTGTAAGTCCTTAGTGTAAAATATAATGGCAAGACAATGCTGTGACGGCGCGCTTGTGAACTGTACAAAGACTCGTGCATTACAAGTGCATGCGTGTATCAGCATACCGACATGTTGTAAACACGGACGACGATTACACATACAGGTATAGCATCGTGAACATTTGATTGTTACAACATACAGAACCAAATATCTAATTTATGATTATATACAACAATAATGCTGCTGATGCTGCAATTTTACAGAACGCTATAAAATATTGTAGGAACTTAACCAAGGCTGGACCCATTGTCATTGGGTATTGAATATTATCTTCAGTGTGTGTCCCATGGCAAAAAATGACTATTTCAAAAAATACTTATCCCCAGGTATGCATGATTTTATAAATTTCTAACAAATATCATTTCATTAATACAGCAAATCAAAGATCATGTGTCATTGATATTTCTTAAAAACGCAAAACATTTTAAATATAGAGTTTGTTAAACTAGATCTAAATCTACAAATTACCATTGCAAAATTTGCTGCCTTCCTAGATATTATTACTTGTCCATGTTTAATTCTGACTTCATATATTAAATGGACTTGGTGATATGAGCACATGATATGATGCTGAACTGTGCCTCACACTACATAGAACTCAACATATAGTCATGATCTCATTGCCCCAAAACAAAGTTTGATATGTACTGAAGGGCATTCTGTGAAGATGTCATCTTCACCAAACTGGTAAATTTTCACAGAGATAGGATTTCCCTTGATTAAAGTTTATTGGTCGCAATGATCTGCTTATTTTCTTCTATCTCCTATTGGCCTTGACCCCATTTTACTGACTTTCAGTCACTTTTCATGACCTTCTTTTTCACTTACATTAATGGGCAGTTATTGGCCTTTCTGTACACATCCTGTATCTTACTAGAATCACCTGCTGGTCTACCATATTCTATTTTATTTAGTGTAAAACGTACTAATTAAATATCCATTTTCTGATGAGCTACTCCATCCAACTGTTAGAGTTTCTAGTGAGCACCATTTATCTACCCATTTATGTTCTACAAGAGATTTCAGTATCTCAAGTAATATGGCTGGCAAGTATTTACCCGGGTGAACATTATATTTTTGAATTTAAAAAACATCTATGCTTTTTACATGTACATCCATGTATTTTCTATTTTGAAATAATTTACCTGCTGTTCACTTAGTAATCAAAATCATATGCATCTTTTATGATTTTTCAACTAATTGCAGTAATTATGTTAAGACATTTTTTCGTACTCGTTGCAGTAAATTTGTCAGTCGAGGCTCTCAACAGTTTCTGTGATCACACCCCCTCCAACTTTATTGCTTCTGAAACTATTGCTCCCTCCTGCAACTTCAGACCCTTGCGATGTCACAATAGCTTGGTTGGCATTGTTTGTTGCACTGAGTTTTGCCAGCTGTGTAAGGTTCTGCAAAATGTCGAACGGGATTTGGCCCGACATCGCCAACTGGGACAGATAGTGGGCCAGGCCGTGGCCCATGGGTCCTGGGGATTCTGGGAAATTCTGCGTTGAAGAATTTGGTCGGTCTGGTGAAAGGTGTGGACTTAGGTGCCTGTTCTCATTTTCAGTGGTGCCCTCTGGTGACTTGGGTCCTTGGCGTCCGGCTTCAAAATCCTCCACATGTGACTCATGGCTGCTTTTGCTTGGTAGGCAGTTCTGATTGACTTTTGATATACCCTCAATGCTCGATTTGTCTTGAAGGTGTTGTGGGCATTCTTGTTTCTCTCCAACTGCGCAATTACCTGCTGTATTACTACTGTCTTTATGAGATTGCAGGGTAGTGTCATCATGAGAATTTTGTTCTTTTTGACAGTCTGGGGAGCCTCCCTGTTCTGACAGTGTAGTAGAGATAGCTGCAACTTTTTGGCTTCTGGTTGGGGAACCCAAAGCAGGAGTGACAGGGGCACTTTTGGCTAGCACCTGACTCAATACCGACTCACTTGTATTGCTGTCAGCAACCTTTTTGGAATCCATAAGTGAAGAAAAATGGCTGAGTTGGGCTGAAGCTGCAGCAGCTGCGGCGGCCTGCTGCATAAGTGCCCTACTTGAATGCACAACATTAAGACTGTCTGACAAGGAGCGTGCACAACGTATTAATTTTACTTCATCTTTGACAATCCAGTGGCCACTTCCTACAGGGATGATTTCATGCCCTTCTCCATTGAGAATCAAAATCTGTGCTGCCCCCAGTGAACTACTGGTCTGAGTAAGACCAGGGGCAGCAGACACATTCGGCAAACCACCAATGTTATTGTGGGGCAACATTTTACTCAGCGATGCTGTATTTGCACCTCCAAGATATGGAATGTCTGCAGAGGTCAATGAGTTCAGAAGAGCATGTTCTTGTTGGCTTCGCTGAAATCCAGAGGCAACATTCCCGTGTGGAAATCCTTGTTGAGCAATAACTGTTATGTTTTTTTCTTTCGTAGGACTAGAAGCATTTTGATCCTTTGGGATGTTGGGTTCCTTCTGCTGGCCATTCGTTGTTGGTCCTGCTGCAATGCTGGAGATATCAGGCCTTGGCTTTGATGTTAAATAATCAGGCAACATTCTCCTTGGCTTTTTCTTGATCTCAGAATGAGTGGTTGACATCAGTGAAGCATGATGACTGCCATCTTTATCGCGGTCTGACAGCCTGTCTTGGACATCAGCACCATCTGGAGGTGTGGTGGCCACCTTAAAGGGTGTGCCTTTACGTTTACGTGTATTGGATGTGAAGTCACTGCCCTCATCATTAGCATCAACCTTGGGTTTCAGCCCATTGATTTCCTGCCGTCGCTGAGTGAGTAAATCTGCTGTAGGATACGGGGGAAGAGGATTGGGGGGTCCAGTGGAGGTCACCAACGGAGCTGGTGACACTTTGGGTAAAATCTGAGAAGTACCAGGAGGATTTTTATCTTTTTGTGGTCCAGTCAACTGGGGGATGTTTAACACCTGGGATGACATTCTGGCCAAGTCTTCTGGGTTTTCAGCTCGCATTGCTTGCTGCTGTGCACGCATGTGCATTTCCAATATGGATGGGTCATAGAGGCCAGCCATTCCCATTTGTCTCAGAAAAGCAGGATGCATCCCTGCAGAAAATGGAACTGCTGGTCCAGCTTCTTTGCTGTTTGGAGGTGCAGCATCTGGTCTTTTTGAACCTTTAATATGAAGAGTATTTTAAGTATACATCTACAATATATCAACTGATCTATAATTGACTTTTTTTCAGCTCAGACTGTATTTGATTTTTGTTTCTATCATCCTGGATCTATTTCAATCAACAGATGGTCAATCTTTTCATAAAATACAAATGCCCTTTTCTATTGTGTAAATACTAATCAGACAATACCTGATTGGGCAGATTCCTTTTCAACCTTTACACCGGTATTTTCTGTCTGCCCTTGTGGTCGAAACTTCTCGTAATTTTTCATCATTTCCTGTGCGTATCCATTGATGGAAGCTTGCTGGTGCAGCCAGAATTTCTGATATTCTAAAAATGCTCGTTGCGCTTCTAATTCCTTAGCCAGCTCTTCATCATCCAAATTGATTGATTCATCCAAGTCATCAGGTGAAAAAGAGCGCTAGAAATGCAAATACATATTTATTTATTTATTCATTTATTTATTCTATGCCATTTCATCAAATGCTGTGCGTCTGCATGTTCAGTGGCAGAAAAATTGTCATTTTATCATTCTTATACCATCCTCCCTTTCATGATTCAGAAAAAAATATCTCCACGACGAGAAATGAAACTTTCAAATATCACAGACTGCACAATGCAAAAATCTTTTCCATTTTACAGAAGGAAAAATGTTTTCAAAGCATCTATTTTTAATTACTGTCAGTTGTGGAAAGTGCAGCAAGTCCAATTGTTTGGTCAATGTCTTACTTGGGGTATACTGACTAACAGATCATTAACAATTTAAGAAGGGACTAGTGAAAATATGGTCAAAATAAATAAATAAATAAATAAATGAATTAAAAAAATCTGCCCATTCTTTTTTAAGCTAGTGATGATCATAAACATTAATCTAACATAGTTACTTTTTTAAAATTAACAGATTACTAGTACATGGTCCAAAAACCTTATCCATTTCTACCACATTTAAAATATTAAAATTTGTTCAAAAATAAAATGTGACCATTTCTTTTTTAAAATTATAATGATGAAGAAGATTCTTCTAACTTAATTTCTTTGAAACTTCACATATAACAAGCCTTGAAACCTTGTCTATTTTTACAAATAAAAGATATTTTCCAAGTACCTGTGTGTCATCTGCTGTGCTAGCACCGGGGCTTCCTCCATTTAATGAGCCATGTAGTAATGCTGCATTGTATTTCTTCTGGACTAGAGATTTGTCTCGGATGATCCTATTGATTGAGCTTATGCTGGGGACAGACTTCTCATTGCAGATGCCTTCACCCAAAAGCCTAATAATAATAATAATAATAATAATAATAACAATTTATTGTCATATTTATATATAAAAGTATAAAATTAAAAGTGATATGATCTGTAGATAAAATAAACTACAATAGAATAATTTAAATCCATTTTGCTCATTAAAAATATGTACTGCTGATAAGTAAAAGCTATTTTAGTGGATGAAAAACATATCAACATGAGGTAGCGGCCTATAAGGAGTATTCTCAAAAGTTGGATGTTTAATTAAAAAAGCAATCAGACAGCACAGACCTTTGCCAAGAGAACATATAATTAATTCTCATTAATACTTATTACAAGATGGCCCTTCTCTATCTTACCTATGAGGTGACAATAATTGGTCAATGTGTAATCAGGCAAACTGCAATCTTTAAACTATGTTCCTTCTCTTTAGAAAATCAATAAAAATAAATCTTAATGCGGCACTGCTTTACATCTCCAGCTTTACGTGCTTGTATTCAGCTCTTGGCAAAAATAAACCTAAAAATTAAACAACCAACCAAGCAGGAGCAGATACACACCTCTGTCGTATCTCCCAGGCGAACATCTGCGGGTTTTCCATCTTGTAGTCCTTGACCTTGTTCACTACGTCTGGGGTCGTGACCTTTGGCTTACTGCCCCCAATTTGACCTGGATTGATGCTGCCTGTTCTGCGAAACCTGAGTGGAAATGAAATTCACAAAATATGTAAAACATCCACTTGACATGTAGGAATTTTTTATGATTAATTTTTTTCAGGACTTGCCATAATGGTGAATACACGATTACTTTGATGACAAGGGAAATAAAGTAATAATCAATATCTGCTCAAATAATGACAACTTGTACATAAGTCATAGATATATATTCAGACAGGATTTATAAAATAAAATTTCTTAAGTGCAACATCTCACTGAACCAGTACTACGAAAATTTTGTGGTACTGCAGTCATAACAAATACCATATTTGAAAAGAGAGGTTCTACAATACTTAGGTTCACAACAGCACATAAACCATTATGAAATGTGAGGTATAATTTGCTTTGAAAACAGTAATGAAATTTTAGAGAACATATTTGGATCAATCACAATCATCAATTTAGTGAAAATATGTGAGAGAAAGATTATTCCAAAGCACCCATAATTCCTTATCAGACACACTTTGTATAACATTTTTTTTTTCAACCAGTTTGGTTTTAATCTCATACCTTAGTTAAAGTCAAGTTAATTAAATATCAATCAGTCCATATTAAAACACTGAAGAAGTTTGTAAAAATATTAGACACTTTAGAAGCTGCACTATACAGACACAATCTTCATAATGTTATTTAGTGTGCATTTTTGACATCATGTGCCTTTTTGGGTACTAGTACACGTCATGTATCATATTAGTTATGTTTATTATTTATTTTTTAGTCCCAAAGAATGCACACAAGCCAAATCTCAGGTGCTTTGTACCAAATATAGTTGATTTTAATAGTGAGTTTTCAATCCATTATATAAAAACAATATAAAGTAAGCTCTAATGAACATTTGGACCTAAAAAACCAAACAAACAAAAACTTATCAATGATAATGTCAAAAATATAACAATAAAAAACTCACCTGTTAAGAATCTTGCTGACACATCCATGAGAGACCTGCAGTTGGCGACTAATCTCACACGGTCGCGTGCCTTGCAGCGCCAGCTGCAGTATCTGGACACGAAGATGGTCAGGCAAGGGGCGGCCATTGGTGAAGATTCGACCATATTGATTTATATTTTTCCCACCTGAAAACCAAAGAAAATTTTTTGAATTAGACGACAGCAACTTTTCTCTCACGAAGGAATACATCTTGTAGAATGTTTGTGACATAGGTGTTCAGCTGGTAAGACGTTTGCTGCCTTATTGTATCTTTGTATGGCCTTGACACCTTGATACATAACAAGTCTAAGACATGGCCACGTAATACTGTTTTTGGAAATAAACAACGTCGAGTCCTTGTTTTAGTTTTTCAGGCAAAAAAGGACATTTTTGTGCCTGAAAAAAGGAAAAAAAAAGAAAAAAAATGCATGGCTAATTTTCTGAAAAAAAAAAAAAAAAAGATCTCCATTGCACTCTCAGTATAGAAAAATTCTCATTCTTATATAAAAAGAACAAAAGCACTTCCTGCTGCCTGCATATATAGTAGATTGATACAATTATACTAATAATATATTTATATACAGGAAAAATTGCCAGTGAAAATGTTTGCACTTCTAATTGTCTACTGTCATACAACCATCAAGTACTTACATGTCATACCACTAGAACAAATCATGTCAACTTGGCGGAACAAACAAAGCGTAAAAAAAGTAAACTAACACGGTACGTATTCTTGGTAACTCCACTGAGGTGTAGATTTTCAGACATAATGTCATGAATAGATACCATGTATCATGACTAATGAAGCAAAAAGCAATCCTTCCTTGCGACAAAGTATCAAATACAAGCTTGTTATGTATCCTTAATATCTCTTTCCAACCAAACCACATCACGAAAGAAAGACAAAATGGTAACTTGCTTTCTTTTTTCCTGCTATAAAACATCTTCTATGTAGACGCAATATCTTTTGAGTCACAGACATATGAATAATTAGAGTATGTCCTTTTACTTATTACCTTTGCTCAGATGATTATGTCTTTTGCATTAATTGGTAAGACAGCCAAACTCAAAAAGTGTAGGACAGATTTTGATCAAATTTTCAGGATAGGTCAGAAATGGGCTAACTTACAATCCATTTTATTTTGGTGGTGATTCATTAACTAATTAATAATCAATAATTATTCAAAACAAGCATTGAAGTCCATGGTCTCTAAGTGCTTTTATAATTCCAATATTCTATTTCCAATTGTCATGCTTTCTTTCTATATATTCATAAAACTGCTCAACTATAATAAAAAGTAGGAAAAAACATAATGCCATGTTTTTTTTTCAAATTTTAATGTCTTATGAATGCTTCTACTCATTAATTCATTTAAAAATCAGCTATTAAAGATTTCCTAGATATTCAAGGGCATGAAAATGGTCTGCCCCCAGTAGCACACACTTGTCACAGTTCTTAATGATGATTCTAGAAATTATCTCATGCTTAATGGCCTGGAACTTCTTGGGATTTTATACTAGTCTTTTAATTTCTTACAAGGATTGCAATTTGGGACTGGCTTAGCTGGCAAAATTGACTTTTCTTTTCACATCTCTTCAGCTAGTTTTTGCCTGAATGATGCCAAAGCTTGTCATTTGGATAACCCTCACTTTACAGCCGACTTAATAAAAAAATTATAACAATGATTCAAATATTCCAAACACCCCATTTACTTCAATCAGTTCATGTTTTTCAAGAAACTTGTATACCTGCTGTTCAAAAATGAGTAAGGCAACTTGCTTTTGAACCACAGATATACAGATGCAACACCTGTTTGAGAAACATTTTTTTTTGTAGTTTGCTGAAAGTCTGACTGATAAAACAGCAGAAAAAGCTACCAGATACGAGAAAGCAACTGAGAAATAACCTCACGCTTCTCTCATTATCAGAAAAGAATTGAACCACTAAAGGTCTCATCTCCTCCTCGTGCTGTATTTAGTTACAGCTCATTCAAGCTTATCCCAACGGAATGCTCTGTCATTCCGCTGTAATAACCTACCACTCTCCCGAGACTACATCCTAAAGAAAGAAGATGACAAGCTAAAAGCGTGACAACTAACCTCGATCTTCACAGATTAATATTGATTACAAAGTCTCAGTCTTCTAGCAGCTATACCTGAATCAACCGGGCTTTATCAGTGATGGCTTTAAAAAGCAGAAAGATGTCAGATTTGCCTCGTTAGCTGCCATTAAGATAGTCATAATTTTCTTATAATACAGCTGTCTGAGAGTGCAATTTAGACCAAATACCAGTCTAAAGTGGCATTGACCTGACACACCTTGTCTCTGTATGACGATACCTTTCTTGACAGTCTCATTTGGACCATACACGCAGTTGAATAAAGATTTGTTGATCACTATTGTAGTTTGTGTGGTTAAGTTTTAGGTAATCCACTTCAAATCACAAAGTTAAACATCCTTAAAACTAGAAAAAATTAAGAAATTAATTTCAGGGTTACCATAATAATACATTATTTCTTTAAAGGATAAAAGGGACTTTTAATCATTTATTTTCATGTATAACTATACATGAATTTTTTAAGAATCAACAAGAGACCATTTATCTTTCAAACTGGATGTGGATTTTTGATTTTTTTACAGGTGTTGTAGTTTTAAATTTTAAGGGTCTCCAGAATTGCTATAATCTTTAACTCAAACCTGGCCAACAGATATGCCATATTAGGTAAGCTGGACACCCGCTGACGGGGCTTCCTGCCACAATGCCTCTAACCCTGGGGCTAATAATGTGCTCGTATGACATCACCATTCATGCGAATGATGCGTGACAGGAGTCCCACCGTGCAGCACTCATCCCAGAACAAAGTGCTTGTGCCCGCGGGATATCTTACTGTCATGCATGGTTTGATTCTAACAAGACAGCATGCGACAACGAGAGCTTTGGACACATTGGCGCCTAATGAAGGCATGCTTTTTTCGTAAGATTTTTCACAAGATCATAAGCATGAAATGAAAGCTTTGTGTCTCTCTACATGAGAACAACTTGTTGTGGTTTTTGGAGTCAGTCACTGGAGGTGCATTCAATGGGAAAGTCTCTTAAATACTGGCTTCCATTTCATAAATTCACATAAGGTGTAAACTAATTCATTCTGCTCAGAAGAACTGACAAAATATTGCAAGAGAAATTTATGCTACCATAACCAAAATAAATAAATAATTAATTAATTAAATACATAAATAAAAATAATATTCAAACGCGATTTCTTCACTTAAACTTATATGGCATAAAATTGCCATAAAATAAAAGATTCTAAAAAAAAAATTGCAAAAGGAAAATAAATATCCCAAGAGAGAGAGAAAGAGAGAGAAAGAGAGGAGCTAAAACAAAGCCTGCTAATAAAGGCTAATGAAGAACAGATATGATTCTACAGATTTTCATGACCCACTTGTTGTAGTGTACATAACGTCATTACTGAACTAGTGTACCGCAGTGACACTTTCCAGGTGATCTGGCAGGCAAATCTTACCCGCCTTGCAAATGATGAAATTGGTTGGTTAGGGCAGAGTGTTCAGCGTAACATGGTAGAAAACAAAATTTTCCAGATGATCTGTTGAGCAATTCTTGCATGGCTGTGGGTAATAAAAGAACCGCTGGATCACGTCAGAACTGCCAACCAACCCATGATTTCACAAGGCATAACGTCAAACTTTTGCGTGCCGACCTAAGAAATTACTGTAATCTAGGATGAAGGCTTACCCAGTGACGCAGCTCCCTCCAAAGTCATGGTACCATGTGGCGACAAATATTGATTCACATTCTCTTTCTATGCTTGAGAAACCACAATGTGCTCTAATTTATAGGTCAGATGGAGCTAAGACAGAAAAAAAGCTTTCTTTCTTGTACCTTATTATATTTATATAAAAACTGCCTGTTTTCTGTTATTTGTGGTTTATCTTTTTTCTACAATATGGGCGTCAACAGTAAATGTCAGGTGATGTCTAGACAAAGTGAACTCAATTTTTGATATCTCACTCTTTTTTCATAAAGGTAACTCTAAGCTCTTGTCATCTCCATTTGAAAACAAATGAATATATGTATCCCAATTACAGAAATTCATAATCATAAGACAAATGAGATATTAAACTCTAACTCAATAGACACTTAATCAGAAAGTACAAAACAAGAATATAATTATAAGCACAAAGTGCATTATAGAATTGAAACATAAAAATCATCCAACTTCTTTGTGGGGAAACGTGGGAGCCTGGACTTTGTTTCTTTCCATTCTATTAGGTATCAATTGATTGGACAAGAAAACATGACCACAATTTTCATCCTCTTTGAATCTTCCTCCTCATCAATAACTTGACTGCAAAACCAATTGTGACCATGTTGTGACAATTTCCAAAGCCATCTGCCCTTGGTTTTAATTCTGTCCTTCTTATTATTCTGTACCCAGTTGGCTCTTTTTGTAAAGCGTTAACTTTCTAATTCGTATTCATGATAATTAATGACCCGCAAAAGTAAGATATCCTTAGCTGACCCCAAAACATTCACCTCCCAATTTTGAACAGGCCATAAAACCAGTGTCATCGCTGAATTGTTGATGTTTTGTATAGTTCATTGGACAGATATATAAAAGTGTATAAATTCATTTAAAGCGTGTAGACTATAGTTTGATTATAAAATTATACTGTATAATGTCTAGTACAAATAACGATTCCCATGAGGTTGTACTCAAAATGGTATTAACAAAACCCATGTTGTGTTAACAAGTGTTACAAACACGTAGTTACATGGTTTATTCAAGCGCCTGAAGACTCAGGTCTCTTCTACCGTATCTATAACTATCTCTCACTCTCTCAGTCTGTAAGTCCCTCTACTTTTATACATGAACTTAATTTACATTTTAGATTAACTTCTAGGACTGACATGCGACATGCCATGCCTCAAGACCTTAAAATTTAATTGTGGGTACAATTTGCATTAACGAATATGTAGATCACATATATGGAAATAAGCTCTCAATACTATTAATAGTTCACCACATGCAAACTGTCATGCTTAGATCCATTTGGATATGTAAATGATATGTATTCACATTTATGTTATCAGCACTAATTAACGGTTTACTACAGTATAATGTC